GTTTGTTTCCTGCGATTAAGAATTCCTCATATCAATGAGATCATATGATACATGTGACAAGACAGAATTCTTAGAAGACCGTACTAGGCTAGGATTTCAGATTTGAAAACTGGGTTTTGTAAAACGTGTAAGTGTACCATGGGCCCTATGCTTCCTGGGCTGAGAAAATGCAGTATTTTATTTGGTGACATAAATATTCCTTATTATTTCCACATTGAGTTTCTGTTTCTTATTAGGAACCTAGTTTTTCAGATGATTTCATGTTCAGGTAATGGGATCTAATTTGGCATAACACTATTCCTCACTGCCCCATGTGAAAGAGCAGCCCACCGTGCTTACTGGTGCTACTTTGGGGTCCATTGGGTGGTCCCCACGTCCATGGTCTCTCCTTGGGTCCCACATCTGTGCTGCCCCGAGCTGGCTTCTGAGTTCTTAAATTCAGGATCCAACCAATCCAGCCATCCACCTGGTTAGCGCCTAAGAGTCAAAGACAGATATTTGAAAATCCTAATAGTACAAATATCAAAAGAAGGATGGCGTGCATAGAATTGCAGACCTTGAGGTAACATTTTATGAGCCTGGAACTGTGCCTGAGTTCAGGTTTTAGGGGTAAACAGATCGCTCAGGCAGAGAATTCCATCAGCTAAAAGAGTCTGAATTCTCCATGGGGCCTGCTAACCTGCTCTCCCCAGTGAGCCTCTGCCACCCAGTCCAGTGCTAGAACCTTCCCAGTAATGCCTAGAACCCTCTCCAGAGCTGTGGCTGGCTTTCTCTTCTCCCCTGTTCTCTCTTCTCTGCTTCCATCCCTTAGGAACAGAGCCTAGGTTTAGGAGTGTTGCATCAGGACGCAGTCTTTGAAATAGCAGCCTTGGCTTGTCTTCGGAGGGGACACACTCCCATTTGCCATTGCTACCCTGTCTTTAACCCTGGGAGTGCTGGGATGCCACTGGGAACCCCAAGAGCCCCTCTGATGGACTCTTTCCAGCAGAAGTTGGCACATACTGCAGGAAAATGGAATCTGCGTGCCTGCTTTGCTGTTTGTCCTTATGTCAGGCAAGACTCTCCTGCTACAGCGTAGCCTCTTTTCCTCTTGTTTAATCCTCAGAGGAGACGGAAGCTTTGCGAGCTTTCTGGCAACCGCTGTCCTTCTAGGAACCCTTCATGTGCTTGAATGCTATTAAATGACTCTTCAGACTTTTCTTCTCCAGACTAAATAATCTCCAGTCTCTTGGCCTTTTCTTGTTGCCCAGTCGCAGAGACCAATTTTCTAGCCATTTCATCATTTTGCTCCTCTCCGGCTGTGTTCCAGTTTCTCCGTGTCCCCACTGAATTGTGAAACTCAGACAGAACATGGTACAACGTGACCAGTAGGCTAAGTGATATGAATGTAAGTAGTAGTCCTTGGGAAGAAAAACTAAAACTCGGCTGGCTTCCCAAAGGCAGTGATAGTTGAGAGTGTTTTCAAGAATTAAAAAATGCAGGAGATGCATCCATGTTGAGAGTGATCTGAGGAAAATGTCCTTAATGTTAAAAAATTAAAATAGCATTAATAATCCATAAAGAGTCATAGTGATGATGATGATGATTTTTAGGGGCAAAATAATCACTGATGCGTGACTTCTACCAGGTCTCACTGGGTCCCCAGTGAGTTCCATCATTGCCGCATAGACATCTCTACTTGGGTATCCCACAAGTGCCTCCCACTCCCATCAGTACCAGAACCGAAATCACAGTTGCTGCCCTCAGAGTATCTCTCTTTCCTTTTGTTCCCAAGGTCAGTCAGTGGCGCCATGATCCACACCCCACGCAAGTCTGGAACCTTACATCCTCCTCTCTCTCTCTCTCTCTCTCTCTCTCTCTCTCCAGCCACCCATTTCCCATTCAACCCATTGGTTCTGCGTCTTCTGTGTCACTGAAGTCCTGCCCCTGCTGCCACCACCATTAGCTAATGGCCCCTAGGGTACTTGCCGTGGGGGGTAGGTCTGAGCTGTGGGAGCAGGAAAGGTCCCAGGACCATGGCTTCCCAGCTGTCTGTGTGACCCTGGGGAGGACAGTTCATCTCTGTGAGTCTTCTTCATTCGTAGCAAAAGGCAGTGGTCTCTTCGTGAGGTCTGGGCTGGATAATGCAGAACACAGCCAGGTCCCCTCCCGCCCCCGGCACCCTCCGAGACGTGGCCGTGCCTGCCTCCTCCATTCAGGCTGACCTCAGGCACCGCCATCCCAACATACACAGATCTGCTCGGCTCACTGCGGGGCCCAGAGCTCACACTGGCTCGCTTTCATCTGCAGAATGAGGTTCAAACTGCTTGGCCAGCCCTGCTTTTTCCCAGTATCATTTCCAACATTTCCTCTGCACTTGCAAAGCTTCCCCGACTCAATTCTCTCCTCTCCCTTCCTCTCTGCGTCCTTGCAGTGTGGGTGGTCCACCTTTTTGGTTGTTGTGCCACCTGGGAACACGCTGACTTCTGGCTTCCAGCAGAGTCTGCAGCAGCATCCCCAGTGTCCAGCCTGGCACCTGTCATCTAAGTGCTGGTGACGGTGATGAGCAGGTGTTGCAGTGAGGCTTGTAACTAGACCCTAATGTCTGGGGAGAAATCAGAGCAGCTTTGGCAAGGGGTGCCATCCAGTTAGGTGTTTTTAAATTGCCTGTGGAACTGTCTTAAGACAGATAAAGGTCAGTATGGTGTACTAGGATACCAGTTTCATACCAAACAGGTTAAGTAATACATTTATGATCTAAACACCAAGGGTCAGTACAGCTTGAGCTCTATATATGTGAGAATCCATTCATTTTATTTTTGCAAATATATATATATACACACACATGCATGCACTAGTAGTCATTAAATTGCATACAAAGATTATTTTACTCGAGCCCACCATTTGAACTATTATTTCAGGGTACACTGTACTTTAAAAATGAGTTTACTCCTCTGTGTGCACTTCTCTCTCTCTCTTTTTTTTTTTTCCCAAATAATTCAGAGTTTTTTTACTGTTCTATCTGATACTGTTTACCTTCAGAATTCCTAGTTTGCAATAGGGCAGTAAAGGAATTTTCGGGGATTTTTTTTTCATACTTGCAGCTAAAACAAAACAAAGCAAACAAAAAACGACCAGCTTGCGCACCTAGTGATATTTTATCATTTCCCTTGTCTCTGCAGTAACGTATGAAAACTTCATCCATCTGATCATCGCTCTGCCCGTTGCTGTCCTGTTGATAGTGGGAGGGCTGGTTATAATGCTGTATGTCTTCCACAGGAAAAGGTGAGTGACTCTGTGAAAAGTTCAGATACCTTGTGTGGCTGTGCTGTCTCGTGGTTTGAACCTGAGCGCGGGGAAACGTCGTGAGGATTTTGAGGAAGTATTTTATGGATTGGGAAACCTGATTTTCCCATCAAATGTTCCTCTCAGGAAAAAGAGAACATTTTCTAATGATTCAGCAGCAATGGAAAATGTATTTGGGGCCAGTACGGTTCATCCCCTCGCTCACAGATAACTGCTGCTCATGCAGAGATTTTTCCAAACACAGGGCCCGGCCTTTTCTGTCCAGTAGGCCTTTCAGTTTCTGATGAAGTAAAGAAACAAGTGTTTCATAAAAAGCTTTAATCCGAGGCCCCTGAAGAAGCCCAAGGACGTGTTAGCAAGATGGCTTTGGGGCCCGATGAGAGCCGACAGGCAGGAACTGTCCCCTCGCTCCCTTCCTCTGGATATCCACTTAACGAAACAGGACAAATAAAACTGATAGCGCAAAGATGACATGTGCGGAGATGGGTTTTGTTTTTTTTTAACCTGAATTTTACCCTTTTGACAGAAATAACAGCAGGCTGGGGAATGGAGTGCTGTACGCTTCCGTGAACCCAGAGTACTTCAGCGCCGCCGACGGTAAGCGGCTAAGCCAGGGTCGTTGCCTGGGGACATCCCAGATCGGGGAGCTTTCGGGAGTGTGGCTAATTTAGGGGGAAGAGGGTTGCAATATTTTGAGGTAACTTTGGCCTCAAAATACGTCTTGGTTAACACTTTTTTTTTGTTTTTGTTTTTTTGAATCAAAGTTTTCAGCAGTTCAAAGAGTATGTCAAAAATTCTGGGACTGTGCGGAATGCCCCAAAGAAAGACAGGCTTCAGAGATGACTGGTCAGCGCAGTAATCAATTTACTTAATCGCCTGAAATTTTATGCTAGAATGACAAAAGCTGTTCTAATTGTTGACGTCTAGTCAGAGGGGATGCCACAGCTGACCAAACCATCCCCTTCAACTTGTTTCCGCTTGAGTTTCGTGTCGCTGTGACTGTCTTTGATCACTCACGGCTTCCCTGCATTTTTCTGTCTTGGAGTTCTTCTGTTCACCCCCTCCTGACTGGGATCACATGATTTATACCCTCACGGCCCATTCACATACCCTCGGATAGTAACTCATGAGGGCCATTTAGTTCAGTGACCGAGAAGGTCTGACTTGGAAGTTGGGTTGTACTCCATGGATATCTCTTTTTTTTTTTTTCCCCTCGTTTGCTGTCTCTTCTCCCTCGTGGGCTTGAATCCAGACCTTTCAAAGTCAGTCAGTGTGGGGCATTGGTCCCAGCACCATTACCTGGCACTTTGCTGGGGGCTTTTATAAATGCCATCCCATAGGTCCCTATATCCCTGTAAGGTGGCTTTTCTCAGGCCCGCCTGTGTGTAGGTGAGGCCGGGAGGTGCAGAGGAGAAGCTTGCCCAGGTCACATAGTGAGGTAGTTGAGAAGTTGGGGTAACACAGTCTCTGGTATCTTGTGGACAGTGTGATGCCATCACCGTGAGGTGAGCTCCTCGGGGCGGGCGGGGAAGCTCACCCACAGGAGTATCTGGATCGGGTTCATCAAGTGAATGAGTAAGTGCGTGAAATCGGGTAGATGCATTTAGAAAAAGTGTTTGCCTCTTCTTGGCTTTCGGTGAAGTGAAAGTTGATATAAAAGTATAGGAGATAGGAGATAGATTCATGATTATTCTGATTGATCATCCTGATCAAATGGAAAACATAAGAAAAACACTTTGACACTCAAAAGCACTATATAAATGTGTAAAGTTTCACTGTGATTTCTTTAATAGTTTCTAATTCAGTTCTGTTTACAGTAAAGCCAATCAAAAGCAGCCTCCCCTGAGTAGGAATCGAGTGCAGAATAATGACATTATTCCTGATTCTATAAAGATCTCACAAAGTTTTATTTTTAATAGGCACATATATATTTGTATGTGCATACACGCACACACACACACACACACCTCTGTACTCCTATAATTAATGTATGTATGTATATAAGGCATAGAGAACATTCTGGAAGGGTACACAACCAAACTTAAAATAGTAGTTACTTGCGGAGAGGATCTTTTTTCTTATTAAAAAAAAATATTTTTATGCATTGTTTGTATAAATGATAGCTTTTTTTAAAAAAAATAAGGTAAGGCAAGTCATCACACACCCAATGGAATTTATGGGGGGAATGCAAAGCCACTTTCCCTCTCTGTAAAGATGGAATAAGACTATTCCAGAGACTTTGCTCTGCTTTGAAATAAAGCACAGGAGACGGGCATTTGTAGTTTTGACTACGAAGCATCCAGGAAGTTTGGAAAGAGCATTAATACGATAATATCAGACAGTACTGGTGAACTGAATTCAAATTGTGTATCTTTCCAGAACTACTTTCATAATATGCCTTGATTCTTCTTTAAAAATAAAATAAACAAAACCCAAACTCATTGTCACCCGGGCCAACAGGTAGGAACACCATCACCTCATTTGAACTTAATTTATTCGGCCTTTTGACAAGCACCTTATAGCTAGTTTCCTCAAGGGGCCACAAAATGACATTGCAGTTCGCAAATGCTTTAAAAACTCCTTTCTCCAAAAGCTAATCTGCATGTCACCATTCTCCAGAGTACGCTGAAAATCCCCTATAGGGAAGTGCTGATAACATTGTGCCCATAACCTGAGGCTGGCTGGAGGGGCTTAGGACTGCTGGTTCAAGTCAGAGCTGCTGGGTTGAATTTAGAGAAAAGGATTCCAAGTGTTGACTTCAGGGACCTCCCAAGGAAGGAATGTGATTGGTTTTAACTCTGTTTTTTATGGTGTGCTACATAGTTAATTCTGACTAAAAGCAAGCCTGGATTTTCAGAGATAAATGGATTGAGGCAGTGTCTCTTTATACTTTCTGAGGGGTATTATGAAGAGTCTTATCTACAGGCTTGTCTGGCATACTTAACTCTCCTGAGCAAGCATCAGCCTCTTCTCGGGGGCTGTGTGGCACCTAAGCCATGCAGAGGGTAGACTTCCGTTTATGAAATTCCAAAACATGTAATGTGAAATACAAAAATGTGTATGAGAGAAAATTCTAGATTGATTAATATAGGCCATATTGGACACTCCTCCTCAGAGGTGTAATTTAGTTTTCATTCTGCCCATTCAGGTTGCAGGACGGATCCTCTGTTTTGTTTTCTTTTCTTTCTTACCTCCCTTCTCCCTGTTCCTCTCTTTCTGCTTCCTGCCTGCCTGGAATTACTTATTTAATTCCTTAAACCAGACCAAAAGCCTGGGCTGGAAAAGTCCTAGTTGGGCTCTGTCTTAGCATGTCCCACCACCCAGCCCCTCACCCCCCAGTTGTGGGAGGTCCCTGAGCTCACGGAGCCCAGGCCAGAGCCCTGGGGACACCCCTCTGCTCATCAGCTGTCCCTCCACCCTGCTCACCACTGAATGCTCCTTGGGGCCAGAGCTCAGTTGCTTCTGTACCCCTTTAGACACTCCGGGGTCTTTGATGAGGCTGGAGACACTTGTCTAGACGAGAATAGTGCTCCCAGTGGAAATATAATGCCAGTCCCATATGTAACCTCAAGTTTTTCTTGTGGCCATATAAAAAAAAAGTGTAAAAGAAACAGGTGAAATAAGTATTAACGATATGCTTTATTTAACCCAATATATGCAAAGTATTATCAATTTTAATATGTAATCAGTACAAAAACTATTGAAATACTCACATGATTTTTTGTGCTAAGATTTTGTGGGTTTTTTGGGGTTTTGTTTTTTAAAGTTTTATTTATTTCAGTAATCTCTCCACCCAATGTGGGGCTCAAACTCATGACCCCAAGATCAATAGTCACACGCTCCTACAACTGAGCCAGCTGTGTGTCCCTAAGTCTTTAAAACCTGTTGTGAATTCTATACTTAGCACATCTCAGATTGGACTCCTTTGTGGTTCTTCTATGCTGTTAGTATCCTCAGATTATCACAGAATCCTTGAAGACTTGAAATACCAGAATTTTTTTTAAGATTTTATTTACTTTTTTTTTTTTTTGAGAAATACCAGTATATGACCGTATTGCTGCCTGACAGAAATTTCAGGACAAGCCGCGTCATTGTTCCCAATGTTCTCTGTGGGCTTTAGGAAGTGGCATCTTGTGTTCTTTGGTTTCCCCCCAAAAGCACCTTCTGCCCAGGGGGTCCCTTGCCTTACCTGGCTCAGTTCTGGTTTCTTCTTCTCTAGTGTATGTACCTGACGAGTGGGAAGTTGCTCGAGAGAAGATCACCATGAGCCGAGAGCTGGGGCAGGGCTCATTTGGGATGGTATACGAAGGAGTTGCCAAAGGCGTGGTTAAAGATGAGCCAGAAACCAGGGTGGCCATTAAAACAGTGAACGAGGCCGCGAGCATGCGTGAAAGGATTGAATTTCTTAATGAGGCTTCAGTGATGAAGGAGTTCAATTGTCACCACGTGGTAAGAGACAGCCCCCCAGGAAGCCAGAACCTGACACAGGGAGAACCCTTCCCTGGAGACTCCCAGGGTGTCTGTGGCCCCACTTGGGGAGTTTGGTGTCTTCCTCCACCCCCCTGGCCCCCGCCTTCCGGAGTCCCCCATCACCTCACGGTTGCCCTTAGACATCTGTGCATGGGAGGCAGACCCCGGCCAGTGGAGCCCCCTGGGGCCTGCTCATGTGGGCCCTGTAGGTCCCAGCACCAGACAGTTCAAGAAGCGTGGGTGGGGATAGTCGCGGGTAACCCTCACCCTCTGAGTCCTTCTCTTTGTCATTCCTCCCAGGTGCGGTTGCTGGGGGTAGTGTCCCAGGGCCAGCCGACGCTGGTCATCATGGAACTGATGACACGGGGGGATCTCAAAAGCTATCTCAGGTCTCTGAGGCCAGAAATAGAGGTTAGTTTTGGTTTTAACCGACTTTGCACGTTATCCGTCCTTTCCCCCAGGAGATACGGTGTCTTTAAATTTACTTACTCTCAGTATCGAATGTTTCTTGCCGCATGCTTGGTTGTAGGTCCTTTATGTGAAAGATTTCCCTGACTAGAGGGGGACCTGTGAGCTTTTGTGAGAGGCACTTGCCATTCCTCAAGTACCCGCCTCCCTAACGCCTCTGCGTCTGTTCCTGCATTCCCTCTTCCACCACCGGTTACCTCCTCCACCGCCCACGCTCCCTGAACCCCCGCCGCCCCCCACCTCCCCGGCCAGGAGGAACCATCTCCTCCGCTGACTTCTCTCCTAGCACGGACTCTCTCCTCTCTGGTCCCTGAGTGGATTCCCCTCCCACCCCATCGTGTTTGGCTTCTCACCCTGGGGAACAGCCACACCCAGTTCAGGGTCAGTGTTTGGGGCAGGCAGTCTTTCCATAAATGCTTGTCAGTTCAGTGTTAGATGGACGCGATTCTTGTGCCAGGGTGGTCTCCAACCCAGCTCCATGCACAAGACAGCCTCTCCCTCATGAGCCCCCTCCCCACCCACACGCCCCTTCCCCCCACCCCATGCTGTCAACAGCCTGCGCCTTGGAGACCGGGAAGCCTTGTTTCTCAAACTCTGCACCCTCATTTCAGGCCCGATTCTGAGGCAGACTGATACTCGCCTCAGCTGCACAGTCTGCTTCGTCTAGTAAAAAAGATCCATTTGTGTTATGAGCTTCAAAGTCTAAACCGGCTGAAATCCTGTGTAATTTTTCATTAGTCACCGTGGTATCTCCCCTTGTGTGGCAGGAACCCACAAACCAGCTTTTTATCATATGGAAGCATGACTTGAAAGTGAGGAATTCTAAGAATAAACCGGTAGATAAACACTTACAAATAATCCCAGCAACATCTGCCTTTCATTGGGTCACCTTGGTGGGTTCAAAGTCCTTACTTTCACCCTGACTTTGTTCCACGTTGAGTAGGCTTTGTATCTGCTTGCCCCTGCCAGAATCCTTCCCTTTCTCTACCCCTTTTGAATTTCTACAGCTTTTCTCTGCTTGAGTTTAATCTTTTGTTTTCTTTTAATCTGCAACTTAATTATCCCCCACGTAGTATTTCCTCAATTTGAGCTCTGAGCACCTGTTTGCGTGTGGCTTCCTTTATTCACAGCAGATGATGCTTGTGATTCTGTGAGGGTCACGAGGCTGAGTGTGGCCCGGGGCACCTGCGAGCAGGGTACAACACACCCACCCTCTGCTCTGCCACCGTGGGTCCCCAACTCCCCTGGATCTTAATGCCTTTTCCTGGCTCTCTTTGGTCATTCACAAGCCAGAGTGAAGGAGAACCGCTTCATCAGATGGGCAGCTAGAGATGCATGGCAGCGTATTTCTTTTCAGATTCATTCAAGGCACCTCTGAAAAGTATGGAACCCTCACTCCCTGCATCCCCGACTTCAGGCACAGAATAAACATTTGGGACACGTCTCAGTCCTGGCTCTGCTGTTTAGCTGTCTGCCGTCCTCAGGCAGCCGCTGCGGGCCTCTGCACCTCGGCTTCCTCACGTGTAAAATAAGAGGGTTGGACAAGATGATTATCCAAGTCCTTTTCAGATCTAAAATTCACTCTTAGATTTGTCAGATTTAAACTTGTTCTTCCGAACTCATGTCAAGTATAAAAATATGTATGCTTGTCCTGCAGATTCATTATATTCTACTTGGCATCTTCTCCCCAAGTGAAGATTTGCTCATTTACTTTGCTAAATGTGGGTGTTTATGTATACATGTCTTCAGTAGCTCTGAGCAAATGAAAGATTTCCGCTCTCTGAAATGTCTGAAAGAACGGCACTGCAGAACCATGAGCCGACAAAATGGCAGCCCTCTCCTCCGATATTTACAGCCAGGTTCCTTTCATTGAGTCTGTTTTTCATATTAGTTATGAATGACCACTTCCAATAAACACATATACTTAATACTCCACAGCTTAAGTATGATGAGCATAAACTTAACATTTTACCCGCAGATTTCCTAGCATACCATGCATATCTAGAGCCCCGAAAACGTTCAACGGCAATGGTGGGTCCAGGGGGCGGGGGTTGGGGGGGAAACAGCTTGTCTAAACAAGGTTCCTGTGTAAAAGAAAGTGGTGGCTCAGGCTTACCCTTGAGGACGTCATGTCACTTCCCCAGGAAACTCAGTGATAAGTATTTTAAATCACCAGAGACGGTGTTGATAGTCTCTTCAGAAGGTGAATGTATGTCAAGCATAGGGAACTAACTGGGAAGTACTTGGAGGGTTGTTACCCTGCTTCTAGAAGGCAGCTTGCAACAGAGACTAGCACGTCACTGGACAAAGCCAATCTCCACCAAGCACAGACCCTGTCCAGGGTCCAGGCACTGGCAGGCACTTTCCATGCATGGTCCCAGCTCATCCTCCCAGCAGTGATCCCACCCAGGCATGCTCTGCCCATGGTCCACAGGGTTTGAGCTGGGAAGGTGGCATGTGGGACCTGTCAGAGCAACTTGGCTTTGCAGTGTTGTAACAGATGCTCTGTAGTCAGGGAAACTGAGGTAAAATCTATTGTGCTAGCATGAGCAAGAGGTGGTTAGCATCTAACCTGTGGCAAGCTGATTGGCTTTGTATTTTTTTTTTAAGGTTAGAGAGATTTGGGCACATGTTTTACATAAACTTCTTCCCACATGGATTTATTATTATTATTTGGAGGCATTGCTCTTTAATTCTAAAGCCAGTATGTTGCCCTCCTCTGCAAAAAAAAAAGGAAATGCTCATCCATGTTCCATGTCACCGTTTTATATTCATCCCCCTCTGGAATAAGCTTCACCTGGACTTAAATGGCAAGTGCCTGTTTTCCTTGGTGTCCCCGGAAAATAATAATCCAAAGAATGCCACATTGTAAGGTGAAAACATTAATCTCAATATTTTTGTACTTTAGAAGAAAGTTGAAGAGAAAGAGAAAGATCAAATAATTTATAACAATGCTTATGTGGGAAATAAAGCATACAGTGTCCGTTTGGGAAATACATTTGCTTATTTCCGCATAGCCTTTGTAATATTCTCTCCGTCCTTTTACCTGTACTTTGATTATAGAAATAAAAGGAACATATGAACTAATAAAAATTTGAGTAACCAAGAATTCGTAATATGAGAAATTGTTAGTTTCACTTTAAATACTTTTTGTCCTACCCAAAATAGAAAATGCTGGTCCCAAGTTGTGCTAATTGGTGTTTCTCTCTGCAGCTTTGTGTGATGTGGTCAGTGAGCAAGCGCATGACTTTACCACGAAGCCGATGCTATGGTCTCCGTAATAATATGTTCCCTCTGAGCAAGTCCTGCTTCTTAGGTCATTACCTGTGGTGCTCAGATTGAACCAAGATGGATTTGCACATCCTGAAAGAACGTAGGGTGGGAAAAACTCCTTCAATTCTCACCTGAGTTTTTTTTTTAAATCTCCAACAGAATAATCCAGTCCTAGCACCTCCAAGCCTAAGCAAGATGATCCAGATGGCTGGGGAGATTGCCGATGGCATGGCATACCTCAACGCCAACAAGTTTGTCCACAGAGACCTTGCTGCCCGGAACTGCATGGTGGCCGAAGATTTCACGGTCAAAATCGGAGGTGTGTTCTTAGCTTTCCAGATCTGAACAAGAACTCAACTCACACATTTCAGGGACTGAGTTGGCATTAGCCTACCTGTGAAGAGGTTTTCCAGTGCATCCCATGAGTACAGAGTCTTGCTCTTGGGAATAATGTGGCTATCTCCAGTTGATAGTCAATCACAGACCTGGCTGGGTTGGCTCAAATCCCAATAGCACATGTGGGCACAGTGAAACAAGCAGTGGGCAAGGATGGGCTGAGGCCATGGTCCCTGAGATAGCCTCTCCCAGCACTTGAGGCATTTCTTGGCAGAACAGTTCTAAGCATTGGTTACAGAAATAATTGAGGCAACATCCTCAGATTATTTTGACCTGGGAATAAAAGTTGCCATCCGAACTACCAATATTCCCCCAATATTCCCAGCTTGTAAGGAGCTTTGTCTTCCCAGTGGTCCATGGAGTTTTCTAAGAGGTGAGGTCCCCTAACAGTGAAGGCACCTACACAGAGCAAGAGCAGTGACAGGGACGTGGCAAGCCCTGTGACAGGGAGGTGGCAGTCCTTTATTGGGGTTCACACCCAAGTTGATCAACCTCTAAACTCTTGACCTGTTATAATACTTAGCTGACCAACCTGCTGGTTAGACCTCTTATTGCCACCACCCACTCAAACACCAAAAAAAAAAAGGTTGGATTGCATTTCTGGCGCTAGTTAGAAATTCATTTCAGCCTTTAGGTTTGGACTTTGCTTTGATCTCTTAATCCTGATTAAAGAAAAACAGAACAAAAACCACATACAACCTCAGGGCTGCTCAGGAAAACACCTCCTCTTACCAGAACCCTTATCTTCCTACTATGAGATGATGATGGTTCAGAAAAACATCAAATATTTATCCTGAGAAACTGTAGGGGACACTTTACATCTGAAATCTATTTAAAATTAACCTCTTTGACTTTCCCAACACATAAAAACAGACACAGAGAGTTAGACAAAATGAGGGGGCAGGGAATATGTCCCAAACAAAAGAACGGGACAGAATCACAGCAAAAGAGCTAAACAAATCAGAGATGAGCAATATGCCTGATAGAGAATTCAAAGTAATCGTCATAAAGATACTCACTGGACTTGAGAAGAGTGGAGGATCTCATTTGAGACCTTCAACAAAGTGATACAAAATATACCAAAGAAGCAATCAGAGATGAAGAACTCAATAACTGAAATTAAAAATACACTAGAGAGAATAAGAAGTAGAGGAGGCAGAAGAACAGATCAATGAGCTGGAAGAGAGAGTAATGGAAAGCAACCAAATGGAACAGGAAAAAGGATAGGTTAAAGGAAGTTAGAGGATAGGTTAAAGGAAGTCAGTGACACCATCAAACATAGTAACACTCACATTATAGGGATTCCAGAAGGAGAAGAGAAAATTTATTTGAAGAAATAATAGCTGAAAACTTCCCCAAACTGGGGAAGGAAATAGACTGAGGAAGCAGAGAGAGCCCCCAACAAAATCAACCCAAGGAGGTCCACGACAAGATACATAATATTAAAATGGCTAAAAGTAGTGATAAAGAGAATTTTAAAAGCAGCAAGAAAAAAAAGAAAACAGTTACATACAAGGGAAACCCTGTAAAACTATAAGCTGATTTTTCAGCAGAAATTTTGCAGGCCTGAAGGGAATGGCATGATATATTCAAAGTACAGGAAAAATAATAATAAGGTAAAATGAAACTAACCTCTTTGTCTAGTTCTTGAGCTGTCTATTCTGGAAATGCTCACCTTTCCTTAGCAGTAATTTTTTTCTTTAGCAATGATTTTGAATGAACTATTTTGGCCCTTTAGTTGTGAACAATGAGTATCCCCTCTAGAATAGTTATCAAATGAGGGGTGATTTTTCATTTGTAGGAGACAGGGGTGATGAATGGAGCCATATCATAGAGTAAACATCCCTTAGTCATCAGAATTACTCAGGAGCCACCAGTGTGTCCCTGAATTTGGCCCTTTGAAGCACCCACACATCTGGTGCCCCTTGAAGCCCAAGAGGCTGTCATGCTCCAGGGTTTCCAAGGAAGAGCCTCCCTGGCTGCTGTTTGCGCTTTCTTTGTGCTTCCTGCTCACTCCCCCCTTCCCTTTCCATTCCCCTCCCTTTTTCATGGGGACTCAGATTGTTCCCACAGGGATGCTAACCAGTTCCCCTTCCCCAGTACTAGGGAACCGGGAAGGCCTGAGCTTCAATCTTGGTTCTGCCAATCACAGATAAGACTTGGGCCAAGTGCCTTAAGTTCTGTGAGCCTCAGTTTCTGTCCCTCTGAAATGGGCATGCTGATACAGCAGACCTATGAGATGGTGGGAAGAAGTGGGTGCAGGGAAGCTCTAAGCACATGGCTGGCATGGGGCTGGTCCTCAGTAGATATTTGGTTCCTCCGGCCGTCGGCATCGTGCTTCCTACCCTCTTTCCGGCACATGCAGGAGCCTGGTTCATGCTATTCTCTTCCTGGTTTCACATCATGGTGGGAGAGCTATTGTTGTGCGACTTGCCGTTTGAAGTCCCAAGTCAGCAAGGACCATATTTACCGTTTAACCAGGTGGCACATTTATAGTGCCATTTTCTTTGTACTTGTGGTTTTTCTCCCTAAAATTTGAAATTTTTCTTTTGTGTTAAGAAATAGCTTGTGTTCTTTTTCTGGGATTTCCTTTTTTTTTTGGTCCTTTTTGTGCAAGTAAAGGCAAGTCTTCTCATTTGCATGTCACTGGATTAATTCTGAGATAAGACTTCAACATTTCATTTTTATTCTTCACTAGGGTTCAGAAACCCTGTTTTTCCTATGCCCAGTGTCTCATGGATTACAAACATGACAGGTAATTTTACCAGAGGCAGTTCGATGGCCCTCAGCTCAGTACAAGTAAATTGTGTTGGTTAACGTCCAAGGAACTTTATTCCCTATGTTTGCTTTGTAGCCTTACCGCTTTGTGGCACAGTTAGAGACATGAATGAACATTTTAGAAAGGAGAGCAGCCCTTTCTCCTGGGAAGGCGAACAGAAGAGTCCCTGTAAGAAAAGGTTGTATGATTGAGTGGAAAATCAAAATCTGACAAAGAAGCAATAATTTAGGATTATAAAGCAAGCCTGCCATCAAACGTAATTATGTGACATCTTCTAGAGACATGGAAAATGGAAGAAATTTTCAAAAACGAGTGGGAGTATTATGATGAAAAACATTATTGAGTAATAGCTCCAGGGGCCTAGTAAATAGCATCTCCTAGGCATCTTACTGGGTACTTTTTTTCCCCGTGAATCTGTACTTTCAATATTTTCCCCCATATTAAGCAGCAAAACTATTTTATTTCCTCTGGCAGTGGGGCAGTGCTACCGAGTAAATAAGAGTCAACATACCCTTGTTTATTTCACCAGGTTTTAAAACCACGTATAAGTACCTTTGGTCTACACAGTACATATTTTCTTGATAAACTGTAAGGCTTGGTAATGTGTAACTGCTTCTCATTTTAAATGAATAAAGAAATTAACTATTTATTTATTTGGAATTAACTTTTTTTAAAAGATTATTAGAGAGCAGGGGGAGGGGCAAAGGGAGAGGGAGAGAAAGAATCTCAAGCACACTCCCCGCTGAGCACGGAGCCAAACTTGGGGCTCGATCTCACGACCGTGAGATCATGACCTGAGCCAAAATCAAGAGTCAGACGCTTACCCGACTAAGCCACCCAGGCTCCTCTGGAATTAGCTTTTTTAAAGAGTCAAATTATAAACATCTGAAAGCCGAGATTTTTTGGTATTTCTTTGTCACGTGATTAATCAGCTATCCCTTACTGATTCTGCCTCATACAACTGCAAACACTGAGGCCCAGCCTCCTTAAAGTACGGCTCCCCCTTGGATGTGGTTGTAGGGCCGTCCCCTGCAGCAGGGACGGGACATCTTTGCTTCTGCCCTGAGAGCTGCTCAGAGTACGTCACTCTGGCGCCTTCTCTCCACCTTACAGATTTCGGTATGACGAGAGACATCTACGAGACAGACTACTACCGGAAAGGAGGAAAGGGGTTGCTGCCTGTGCGCTGGATGTCCCCCGAGTCTCTCAAGGATGGAGTCTTCACTACTCACTCCGACGTCTGGTATGAGAGACTTTTCCTGTACCACAAGCCCGGAGCCCTCCAGCCTCCACAGATCCCATTGGCTCATTCTCAAGGGCTTTATTTTCCTCCTGTTTTCTGTTCACTCTTACCCCATTTCCAGCTTCGGCTAATAAATGTTACGTGGGCCACATTGCTGCGTTGTTTAAGGGTTCCTGTTGTGGGCAGGCTAGCTGAGGGCATTTGTGGGATCTAAAGAATTTATAGGGCCAACATTTCTTTCGATCCTTAGCTGCTCACTAAGCGGCCAGGAGCCCTGGGGACAGGGCACCAGGAGTCCGAGAACTTCACCTCTCCCCTGCCTGCCTGCTCTCATTTTTTCTTTCCCAACAGCCACTCTGTGTGTGCGCGGCTGCCTTACCTAATTAAAACTTCAGATTGCAGACGTTACTTTATTTAGACCCAAAGCTCACGAGTCCGGATGTGTTTTCTTGTTGGTCCCATCTGCTGTCTGTCCTTTTTCCATGGGCATCATCATCGTTGACCCAAGGATGGTATGGAAAGCAAAATGTCTCCCTTAATAATAAATGTATCTTGGTGTCGAAAGCTTACCAGCTGAGGAGTGCAGAGGACTCTCAGTAGTACTGTTTATTGTGATTCATCAGCAACATTGTAGAGAGGAGGTCAGGCTCTAAAATACAACTGAGGTCCTTGGCAGGCCGAGGTCCTGGCACATCTACCTTCTAGCACGTCAGCTAGTTTCTTGGCTGTCCTCTCAGGAGGTCCCATTGCTGATGTGTTACAGAAATGGTAGTTGTTTACTCCAAATGCCTGGATGACCACATAGAGGAGCTATTTAAATAGTGACCGACATCGTCTTTTTTTATAACCTCGTGAACCTTTCACAGTTCGAGGGTCTTGGATCTTTGAAGACAGGTGCAAATTGGAAATAGCATTTGAATATGACCCGGCAAAGCGCGATTGCCTCTCGAGTTCACGTAGGAGACCTGTTTTGCAATCAGCCTGTCCAAGATACTTATCTCTTTGCTGTCAAGTCAAAGTGCTCACCATCATTTTTAGATGTAGAGATGATGGGGAGAGGACAGGCCTGGGTCTGTTCCTTCATCTGATTATTCTAGCCTCCATGCCTCCAAAAGCTCCAAGGTCAGCTTACAGTGTGATAAAATAGAAAAAACTGTTGAGAGTCAGGGAAAACAAGGGGAAGAATAGGAAGATAAAACTAGAGTTATTAATATCTCCAGGCTAATTTTGCCCAAAGTCTGGTTAGCAACGATTGCGACAAGCAGCAACGAAGGGACATATAGGGTGTTCGATGCCAGTGTTCTCTCACTTGATGGCATAGATGTTATGAACCAATAATATATTTATATAAACAAGAGTGAGTATTTGGTATTCATTCCATTCACTGTCCAGGCATTGAGTACTTTAGGTTTTTGTTTTTTTAACGCAGCCTTTGAGGGTAACACAGGTAGGTAGGGTAGGCCGGCCAGGACGTTGGTGAATATGGAAGGTTTCTCAGTTGCCTAGAATTTAAAGCTTCCCCTGTCAAAGGAATGGAAATCATTTTATTAAAGGTTTTTCTTTTTTTTTTTTTTAAGATTTTATTTATTTGACAGAGAGAGTGAGTGAGCATAAGCAGGGCAAGCAGCAGAGGGAGAGGGAGAAGCAGACTCCCTGCTGAGCAGGGAGCCCCATGCGGGGCTCGATCCCAGGACCCTGGGATCATGACCTGAGCCAGAGGCAGACACTTAGCCGACTGAGCCACCCAGGTGCCCCAGTCATTTTAGAATATGTTCAATAGCATAGTCATTCCTAAACAGTTGAAAATCTAGAAAGAGAGACAAAGGATTTTATTTGACTTTGTAAAGGAGACCCAGAATCTCAGGTTTGGGGGGTATCCCTGCGGTCACGTCCAGCCCCCAGGTCCCATCCATGGCACCTTTGACAGCTAGTTGTTGAGCTTCTGCTCACGTCTCTAAGGACTGCTTACTCCCTCCCTCCCAAAAACAGACCACCCTACTTCTTAAGACATCCTTGTTCTTTGCTGGTCTTGCTCCTATCATGCCTACATCGGTCTCTTGGTGATACCCACTGACCCTTCTCTGTGGCCAGTGCGCACCCTGCTCTGGTTTTGATAAGATGGGCCTTGGAGTCACAAGGAAGTGGTCTCTTTTCTCTAGTTTGGACATTTCCACATTTTTCTGCGGCCCTTTGAGATTTTATTCCCAGGCGCTTGGACACTGTATTGGCTCCTTCGACAGCTCCTCTGTAGCGCTGTATCCCAGCCTTTGGGTTAGAAGACACGAGTGTGTTCCCTTCCTGGGCATCTGGGTCAACCTACAGTAGTCTTCATGTCTTGACTCACTAAGGTTTCCAAACCGCCACAAATATCCAGGGTTGGTTGCACGCACTTATAATCATTTGCTTCTTTAGTGGCTAATGAATGAGAGCGGGGAACGTGGGTCTCTCTGTAGGTCTTGAGTTGCTGGTGGGTGGGACACTGACCCGATCCCGTCTTGGTGTGCTGAGGCGTAGTTGCTGACCTCAGGCAGCCCTGGCACTGACCTGTGAGATTGACAGCAAGTTGTCCCTTCTCTGGGGGAGAACAGTGCTCATAATGAGAAAAGGCGTCACACAAAGGCATTTGTCCAGTGTTTCAGGAAGAAATGTGTCCACAAAATTCATGACTTGGTTTTATATGATGGCATTAATACCAGTGCCACATGGCAAATTACCTGCTTTGAAAAACACATGAGTTTTGCCTATTTCTGATTGGCTGTGTGGCCTTGGTCAAGCCATGGGACATCTCTGGGCTTTGGTTACTCCATCTGTGAGGTGAGGGGTGAGGTGTGTTTAGGAATGTCTACACGCCCTACGGGGTCTGCAGGAGCTTGATCGGTGTTTAAACAGCCCCTGTGACAAGTGGTGATGCCCCGGGGCCATCTTGGTGTTGGGTAGAGTTGGTTCGGCCTCCGTCCTTTAGACCCCATACAGCTGGTCACGTCCCGTGAAGGATGACCAGACTCCAGCATTAAGTGGCCCTTGCTGACAAGCGACACGGACGTCACACAAGAGTCACTCCAGGGAAGGCCTCTGGGGGAGAGCTGGGCCTCTTACCTGCTGTGTTATTTCGCGGGTGTGATCGCAAGGACCTGGCGAGGCTCAGGACATGCTCGGCGTGTGCAAGAACAAGGTGACTAGAGACATACTCCCTGTCCTTGAGGGGTGAAGTCTTAGGGGAAGAGGAAGTGATCCTGACAGGCTAGAGTCACAGAAGCCTAGCCAGAAGAGATGGGGTCATAGGGCACCCTAAAATATGAATTGTCACCGATGGGGACATGAGGGTGCGGGTTTCGGGCAGCGGGAATGTTGCAGGGTGGGCGGGGAGCCCTGGTGGCAGGACTGGGTTCGCTGCCTGTGGAGGCCGGCGGGACTCCCTTGAGGGAATTAGGGTAGAGAGAGACCAAGTATGGCCTCAGACCAACGTTGTGTTAGGGGCTTGGGCCTGATCCTCCAGGTTCTACAAAGACGCGTAAAGCTTCTGAAGGAAGCGAGACATAGGAGCGTGACCTGGCTCTGTGTTTTAAGATGTTCACGTTTGGGGCGCCTGGGTGGCTCAGTCGGTACACTGCTTTCTGCTTTCGGCTCAGGTCATGATCCCAGGGTCCTGGGATCGAGCCCCGCGTCGGGCTCCCCGCTTGGCGGGAAGCCTGCTTCTCCCTCTCCCGCTCCCTCTGCTTGTGTTCCTGCTCTTGCTATCTCTCTCTCTCAAATAAATAAATAAAATCTTTAAATAAATAAATAAATAAATAAATAAATAAAATAAAAAATAAAATAATTAGGGCGACTGGTTGGCTCAGTCGTTGAGCGTCTGCCTTCGGCTCAGGTCATGGTCCCAGGGTCCTGGGATCGAGCCCCGCATCGGGCTCCCTGCTCTGCGGGAAGCCTGCTTCTCCCTCTCCCGCTCCCCCTGCTGGTGTTCCCTCTCTCGCTGTGTCTCTCTCTGTCGAATAAATAAATAAAAATCTTAAAAAAATAAAATAAGATGTTCACGTTAGCTGGAGAGTAAGGCAGTGGAGTCAGGTGCCGGCGCCCAAACCGGAGGTGCTGTTGGCCAGGCGAGGGGGACCACGGGCGCGGTGCTGGGCCCCGACGAGGCCGAGGGATGGAGGGCCTGGGGTGGACTGCTCAAGTGGGGCCAGAAGAGCAGGGCTGCGGGACAGGCTTGAGGTCGCGACACGGGAAGCTCCCGGTAGCCAAGGGACCGGGAGCTTGAGGCCGAGCAGCCGTGGCGGAAAGGGTCGCTGCAGGCGCCGGTGAGCGAGGCCAGGCTGCCGCAGCCTGTGTAAGGTGCGTGGCTCCGCGAGGGAACCCTGCTCTCAGGTAACCCCTCGGGCGAGGCCCGCAGCCAGCAAAAACAGCAAGCTTGTCGTTTCCTGGGCTGTCCTGCCTAGCCGAGGGGACGGTGGGGAGCCGTAGCCCCGCGGGACGTGTCCCCACCCCACCCCCCACCGAAGCTGATAGAGAAGCTGGCTGCCCCAGCCTCCGAACGCCGCACCGAGGTCTCTGGGTCTTTGGCTTTTCTAGATCTCTTGTGCAATACTGAAGACTGTTTCTTGGTCACTGGAAATTAAAAAGGATCTTGGCTGGGTCAGTCCTCTGCTAAGATTCTATATTTGTGTCTCACATCTGCTCTTAGTACCAATTTGCACAGAAACCTTTTTTTCACGGCAAAGGAGCTATAGCTGAGGCAGTGAATAGAACATTCTGGTACAGAGTCGGAGGCCCTCCTGGCTCAGGCTCCCGGCCAGGATCCCGAGAGCTCTCCGTGGGAAGTGCCGGGCCCCAGAATGTTTGGTGTGACTCTGCCCGCGCCCCTGGCCTTGCACGGTCCCATCGGAAGCCCCTCGGGCCGTTGGCTGCTGACGAGCCTGCTTTATTCTGCCAAAATGAACCGAATATAAAGGCAAATAGGCCGAGGAAAATGTGTACGAGATGGCAGCGCGTGTTGGGAAGGCACCTTTATTTTGCAGATTACAGCATCGCCTTTTTCAGCATTATCTACCTGAACTTTCTGTGTGCATGTATATGTATTTTCACTTGTCTTCCAGTAGTCGGATCTTCTAAAGCAACAGGCAAAACTGCACGCTTGGCAGAATCGCTCACTGCTCCCCATGCTGAATTGACTCCTCAGCCCCTTGCCCCTGGGCTAAACTCTGCTTAAGGACGCCTGGTGGCCCGTGAGCCCCCCGTAACCAGCCAGTACTGCCCTCCTCGCCGCACCCCCCCCACCGCCCTGAGCCCTCCATAGGCCAGCCGCAACCCCAGCCCCCGTGGGGCTTCTCTCCCCGCCGGCCCCACCGGACCTGGGAGATCCCCAGTGAGCTTTCCAACACTGCAGACCAATGAAATGAGAACTGTGGTCCGGGACCCCAGGCTTCGGTGTGTTTGGAGACTCTACTCCGCAGGCAGCGCTGAGAGCTCCTTGCGTACAAGTTTGCACAACGCGGGAGTGCGTTGATGGGCTCGGCTGTGGCAGGCTGCGTGCGGGCCCACTACACCAGGGGCCCGGCAGGGCCTGGGGATCTGCCTTTGATGACAGGCTAGAGTGCCTGCCGGCGGCCTCGCTGGGGCCCTCAACTCAGCTTGTCCGGCCTTCACGTGAGCACACAGGTGCTTCCTAGCCCTTCGGGGACCCGGCAAACCCCCTCCACCCCGGCTTCCTCCACCGTGCCCGGGGGCTGAGTCTCCTGCGCAGGGAACGTGAGCGGCAACCGCGGAAGATGGTGCCGGGCACGCTGCAGGACGCGCTCGGCTGCCGCTCGGCGGACTGTCGCTCGGCACCCGGGGTCTGCCCTCGGCTTTCTGAGCCCTCACGTTGTCCCCTGTGTCCCGTAGGTCCTTCGGCGTCGTGCTCTGGGAGATCGCCACGCTGGCCGAGCAGCCCTACCAGGGCTTGTCCAACGAGCAAGTCCTTCGCTTCGTTATGGAGGGCGGCCTTCTGGACAAGCCGGACAACTGCCCCGACATGCTGTACGTACCTCCTGGGCCCCGGCCACCCCCCTTCCCAGTTCCCTGATGAGTGCCCCCGGGGCGGGTGGTGAGGGGCTCTGAGAGCCAGTCTCTCGGGCCCCGCAGGTGCCGTGAAGGCCGGGGGGGCGTTTAGAAGAGGGTCATCCTGATGGCAGGAACCCGTGCCGTCATGGAGCTGCCTCAGTTTCACCCCGTCTCCCTTATGCTTCTGGTTCCGACGTGATGGCTGGCACTGAGCGTGATGGTGGCCCACGCACACCGCCGCCACAGGGGCTCCCTCGGGTTTCTTCCCTGCTGAGTGCTGACGAAAGTCCTAAGCCATGAAAGCCACATGCTCTCCGGAGCTTCATCCAGTGACCCATGGGGCACCTGGCTCGAGGTTCAGCTGACCTCCCTGCAGACTTTGGGCTTTGGGCGCTGGCACTTCTTTTTAACAAAATCATTCAGCGTCGTGTTCCTGAGATTTGTCCGCTAAGGGCAGAGCGTCCATGATGCGTCCTGGGCCTCACTGCTCGGTGTTCTTAGGATCCCTCTGTTGGCGGGGGTCAGAGCTGCGGAAGGCTAGAGGGCCGCCTTGTCTGTGCACAGGAGGAACAAGTCAGAGGAGGGTGTGAAGGTGTTCTGTGGCTGGGTCGTCGGGGGCAGGACAAGGACCAGGACAGGTAGGCGACGGTGCACTTGGTTTCCACAGGCATGTTGAGGTGGGGCTCAGAGATTCTTCTGGATCCCAGTGGGTGGAAGGGAGGCTACTACTACTAGTACCTCAGGACCAATTCTGGAATTTTCCAGAAGTGCTTTTCAGGACATGTTTGGATCCCGAAGGAATGGTCGGGCTGTCTCCGTGTCTAAGACCCCTCGATCTGCCTCAAGGGAGCACTGCCTCAGGCTGGGGCCTCAGAGCGGCGGGATGGTTTGCAAATACGAGTCAGATACCATTTCATCTGGATACCAGGGAAACTGGCCTCAACAGTCATGAAAGCTCCACTCGTTTGAATCTCTCACCGGTTTCCTTGGGTCAGGAATCCAGACACAGGTGTGCTGGCCCCTCTGCTCAGTCTCACCAGACTGAAATCAGATGTAGGCTGGGGCTGCCATCATCCGAGGCAGTGGGCCTCCCTCTTCCACGCCCTTTAGGTTGTCCGCAGGACTCAGCCCTGTGGCTGTGGGACTGGGGTCCTTCCAGAGAGTGGGTCTTCTCCCACCAGAGCAGCTTCCTTCTTCAGAGCCAGCAAGAGCATCTCTCCGTTGCTTTTACCTTTTGTTTTACCCGATTAAGCCACATCTACTGCCAGATAATCTCCCTTTTGGTTAACTCAGAGTCCACGGATGAGAAAACTAAAATACCTGAGTGAAATCCTGTCATCTTCCTTAGTCCAACCCACATTCAGGTGAGGAGTTGCATGATGACGCATTTACACCAGGGGCAGGAATCTTGGGGAGCATCTTAGGGTCTGGCTGCCACAGCTTGGGGAGCAGAAACCATTGTCTGTCAACAAACCACGGTTTTGTGGTTTTTTCTGAAGGACTTGGTTGCTACCAAGACTGAACCTCCCCAGCTCCATGTAGATGTGGGAGGCCTTGTTCCCATGGCCCTGACTGCGCAGCTGCAGGGCCCGCGGGCTGGGGGAGACTCAGTGTAGCACTCCTGTGCTGCGGAGTACGTTAGCTGGGCCCTATGCCCTGTAACTGCTGCTTCTGAATGTTTGTTCAGCTGAAGCCTTTTCTATCCCACGGACAGTTTGCGCGGAATTAAGAAAGAGGACCCACGATTGCCATAGGGAAAGCAGCATCCTTGCATCTGCATGTGTGTGTGTGTGTGTGTGTGTGTGTGTGTTTGTGTTGGGGGCAGGGGAACCCATTGATCATCTGAGCATGGGCCTAGAGTAGGAAATTTGCATGGTCCTAGACATGGGGCGCAGAGTAGGCCCACCGGTGACAGGAGGCTCTACTTCTCAGAGGGCAGTGCATATGGAGGGGGCGGGGGGGGTGTGGTGGTGGCCGAGACCGGGTGGGAGGTCCCTCGAGAACCTTCCCAATTAGCCTCTTCAGACTTCAGGACCCAAAGTTAGAAGAGACTCAAAAGGGCACTTAGTTTACTTTTTTTTTTTTATTCTTATGTTAATCCCCATACATTACATCATTAGTT